GCAGGGCCGGGAGTGTCGCTGCTGAGCGGGTGCAAGGTTCCACTTCGCAGCTGCCAGGTTTGGGACTAGAGCAGGTAGCTGCACGGGGTTGTGGATGCCACTGAATTGTTCCCTTCCAGATGGTTAGTATCGCGTCAAACTATCGGGATGATGACAAGCAGACCTGCGGTGGGCGGGCCTGAGCCTGGTCCTGGGTGGGGGAGGGGTTCCAGGAAGGAGGCGGGGGGCGAGCCCAGGACTGGGGGGTGGAGGGGCCCTCCAGCTCCCCGCCCCTGCCCTGCGGTCTGCGGGCGCCCGGATGCACCGAGTTCCTTCCTTCCTGCCCGGCCAAGCTGCCCAGTCCCCCAGGTCTCCATGGGCTGCGCTGGCTGAATGGCTTGGAGAGTTCAGAACTGGGGTGTGGGGAGCCCCCAGCTCAGGCCCTCCTGTGGCTTCCAGCTGCATCTCCATAGCAGGCAGAACCCGGCACCTTGCGGCTGACCCCCAGCTGCCTGGGCATCTGAGGGCACAGACAGGGGGACCAGCAAGCCTGGCGCCGAGAGGGCGGGCCTTTGCCAAGAGGAGAGCGGGGCTGGGGGGTGGGGCCCTGGGAGGCGGGCATCTTGATGAAGCAGCGTTCCCTGCAGTGGATTCCTCCCTGAGCTCGTTTCTCTGTAGTGAGGGACCTTCCCCCCTTGGGAACGCACAGACCCCTCACCGAGGGCCACCGTGTGCCAGGCCCTGTGCCAGCGGCCCCCCCCCCCCCCATCATCCAGCCTGGCGCCATTCCACAGAAGGGGAAACTGAGGCTCAGAGCGCACCGCTGCCGAGACCCCTCCAGCCCTGCTCTGCATGCCAGCCTCTGCTGCCCTGCGGAGATGGTGGGCAGCCAGGCAGGGGCGGGGGAGGGGGCTCGCTGAGCAGCCCCAGGCTGTCAAATCGCGGCCTCGGCTTCCAGGTGCGTGGACCCCTGTGCATGTGCCGAGCGCCTAGCGGATGCGTGACCCGGACTCGGACTCCGACTCCCCGGACCTTGTTGTCCCCACGCGAATGTGGGCGCTTCCAGGGGGTTTTCCGTGCCCGCCTCTTAGGGACCCCCAACCCTCCCACGGCCAGGGAACTCCGAGGCCTGCAGTGGCCTCGACTCAAAGCTAATCCTGGAGAGTCCCGCGGGGCAGGGCGGCTGCTGCGCTGGGCCGGTGCGGACCCCCCGGAGCCCGCGTCCGTCCCCGCCCCGGCGCCCCAACACTGCGGACCCCGCGGAGCACCGGCCCCAGGCCAGGCCTCTTGGCTGCTCCACGGCGCCTCTGCCGGCCAGGATCGGGCAGCGAGGCCAAGGGGAGGGCGCACAGGTCTGCTCCACTTCACGGGCAAGTTCATTCCCCGAGAGCAGCACGTGGAGACCCCAGGACCCCAATAAAGATGAGTCTTCAAATGCAGCGACCGCCCTTTAAGTGGTTCTGGTCCAGCAGCCAATTCCAGGGGCTGCAAACGGGGAGCCCGCAGGTGGTAAACTGGGCCGGAATCACCCCTCCGCTCGCCCTCAGCCCGGCCCCGGTGTCTGTCTGAACGGGGAGGCATAGGCTTGAGGTTCCACGGGAATTACTGCACCGGGTGAGGGCTGCACAAGCCAGGAGGGATGCGGCCCAGGGCACCAACCACAGTTCCTCACCATGGTGCCTCCCACACCCAGCCTCCTCCACTCACCTGCTCACCAGCCCCGCTCCTTCCTCCTCCCTTGCCTGGGCCCAGGAGCCGCTCATTGCCAAGGCCTTTCTGCCCTAACCCCAACCCTACCTCTACCCCTACCCCTAACCCAAACTCTATCCTAACCCTAACCCTATACTAATCCTACCCCTAAACCTACCCCTAACCCAAACCCTAACCAGAACCCTAACCCGGGCGTTGGGGACAGAAGTGATCCAGACGCGAAGGGGGAGAGGGAGGAGCTCACCTGGGGCGGGGGCGAGGGGGTGGAGCCAGAGCGTGGGGCCTGCGGAGCGCAGGGGGATGGGGTAGGTGGGGCGACCTTGCTGCCCCCACTGACTAGCTATGCCCCCAGCAAGCCACTGCCTCCACCTGTGCCTCAGTTCCCTCACCTGGAAATGGAATGACACGAGGCCGCCTCGCAGGTCACCGTGAGAACGGAATTAACACGCGCCGCCCTCTGGGGAAGCGCCTTCTGCCCTCAGCCCTCAGCGCGCGGCGCCTCCGGCCGCTCAGGTCCTGAGCTCCCAAGGTCCAGCCCCAGCGCCTCCTGTCCCAGCCTGCACCCCTGTTCCCGCTGCAGCGCCCCAGGGCCCCTGTGCCACCCCCAAAACCCAGCCTGCCCCGAGATGTGGGGCTCCCGCTGCAGCGCCCCAGGGCCCCTGTGGCCCCTGCCCAGTGAGGGCGTGAAGGCCCAAGGGCAGACCCCGGCCAGATGCGCAGGAGGCTCTGCCCTCGGACCCCCGGGGCCAGCGAGCTGTGGGGGAGGGGAGCTTGGGGTGACCTCAGGGCCGTGGGGGCGGGGGCGGGCACCCAGCGCAGGAGGAACCCGCCGGACTGCGGCTCCCAGGGCGGGCTCACCACGCCGGTGCCCACAGACCGCCGCCTGGGGCCGTTTCTCTACCACCTCTTCGGTCCCCTTCTCCGTGGAGGGCCCCCCCGCCCCCCCCGCCCCCCCCCGTGAAAGACTCCCCGCCATCAAAGTAGCCGCACGGGACTTCCCTGGCTGCACCCCACCCGCCGCGGGCCTGCGCCCTCCGCCTCCGCCCCCCAGCCTGGGCCACCCCCACCCCCACCCCCACCCCCCGGAGCCGCCTGCCTGTGTGGCCAGCGCGCCTCTTCCGTCCCGGGAGCTGCTCTCCCTGTGGCCCAGGTCCCTGCTGGGCGCTCCGTTTAGGGGGTGCTGGGGGGGGCTGGGAGCCTGGCTGGGTCCAGCCGCTCCTGCCTCGGAGGCCGGGGTCCACGCGGCTGGCCGCCTGGGGAGAGCTTGCTGGGGGGGGGGGGCTTCTTATTTTTATTTTATTTTATTTTTTGCTTCTAACAAAGGCCCTCTCCTCACCCCGCGCAGCCGGAGCCGCACACGCGGAGCCTGACTTCGCTTCTTAGCAGGTTTCCTCTCAGATGGGATTTCGGAACAAAACTGTCAGCTCTGCCCTCTCTCTTCGGGGACCCTCGGCGCCTCCGCCTTGCTCCCCGTTGCCCGGCCTTCCCCAGCGGCGGTGAGGGGTCCCCCAGCCGCGGGTGCCCCCCTGCAGGGGAGCCGGTGGGCCTGGCGCAGGGGCAGCTTCAGGAAGCGGGGTTCCAGCCAGCACCTCCTCCGTCCCAGTGTCCTGGGGTCCGGGGTGCAGGGAACTTCCGCCGGCGGCCCCCAAAGATGCCTGGACGTGCAGAGAGGCCCCGGCCCAGCGGCCCTGCGGGCGGGCGCGTCCACCGGCGAGTGGTGAGGGCCCTCGGTGCGAAGCTGCGAAGCTGCTCGGGCTCCGGCCGGACCCTCCCCAGCGCGGAGGCCGTGGGTCGCAGCGAGGGGCCGCGGGCCGGGAGGAGGTTCCGAGGGTCGGGCTCACAGCCGCCGGCACCGACAGGTCGCAGCTCGAGGCCAGGCTGGGCGCGGGGGAGGGTCGCACACGCCGCGGGGAGGGGGAGGGCGAGTGCACCCTGCGGGCCGCAGCGGCAGCTGATGCGGGCGCGGCCTGGGCGGAGCGGGCTGGCGGCTGCGGCTGACGGAGCGGAGCGGAGCGGAGGCAACTACAGTCCTGGCCGCCGCGCCTGAGCCCTGGGACCCCCCCTCCCGCACCCCGCACGGCCGCGCCCCAAGGCCCCAAGTCCCCGGCGGGAGCGAACATTTCACGTCCAACAGACTCAGTCCTCAGGCGCCGGGGAAGGACCGCAATTAGACGTCAGAAATAAAATAACACGGGGGTGGAGAGCAGAGAGAGAGAGAGAGAGAGAGAGAGAGAGAGAGAGAGAGAGAGAGAGAGAGAGAGAGAGAGAGAGAGGCTAGAGCAGCAGAACAGGCACACAGCCCCTCCGCGGTCCCAGGGAGAGAGCCCCTCCCCCACCGCCCCCGCCCCGCTGCTGCGAAACACCGGCTGACTTCCATTTGTATGTAAAATCTCAACACTTGATCATTTATTTCTTTTTTTGCAACAAAACAGGTAATAAATATTATTTAGCACTTTTTTTCTTTTTACAAAAATAAAACAGATGATACACTCTGGGGGGCGGGCGGCGGTGGGGGGGGATGTTACTGACAGACGCCGGGAGGCCCAGGCAGTGCGGCGCCCGCCCAGGCTCCCGGCGCAGGAAGCACGCGAGGGTTTGTCATTTGTGTTAAAAGTGGCAAAAGACACGGACACAGAGGAGGCCCGGCTCCGGCTCCGCGCCGGTGGGGCGGCCGGCAGGTGAGCACACGGTTTCGCAGCGCGCACGGACCTCACGGAGATATTTACACAGCCAAGGAAGAAAGGCAAGCCGTCGGGACCCCAACACCCGAATTATATTCACAGCAACAGCCTCTGAGTCCCGTCCAGCCCTCGGTACCAGGTCCGCCCCATCGGGTGAGGGACCGATCACTGGTGCTCAGCGACCGAGTCGGGTGGGCGGCGGACTCTTTTAAAATAACGAAAACCCCGCTCCGCCCCGAGTGGACAGCGTGGGGCCGCTCCCGCCGCAGGGCCCTGCGCCGCCCGGCCATGAAGCGTGTGCTGCTGTCGGAAAAGGGGACGTGGGCGCGTTAGAAGGCCACGCGCCGAGGCCAACAGGGAGGACGCAGGGTGTGGGTTGACCCGATCTGAAACCGAGACAGGACGACCATGGCGCTTCTGGTACCGACCGCCAGCTTCCACGAACTCCTAGCCCGGCCTCCCCTCCCCGGAGGCCCCACCCGCCCAGAAACTGGGCGGGAGGAGAGGGAGTCCCCAATGCCTCCCTCCCCATCCCCCAAGTAACCAAGTGCAGCCAGAGCGAGTGAGGCCTGGTTCCAGGAGAACCAGTTCTGAGAATCCCCTCTTTGGGGGGCCGGGGGGGGGGGGGGGTTTGGGGAGGGGTGCGCACAGCGATGTCCTCTTAGAAGTGTGTCCACCGGATCCTCGCTAAAGCCAGAGAGGGCTGAGCCAGGTCCCGCGCACGCCCCTCTCACTCCCCAAGTTCAGTGCGCCCCAGGGGGCTGGCCTTGCACCCCTGCTCCCCAACCCAGCCACGGCCCCAGTGCCCCCAGTCCTCGCTTCCCCGCGGCCTCCTCGCCCCACTCGCCAGACCGAGCCGACCTGCCGGCTACTTGGCGTCGGAGGTGAGGCGCGGCAGGCCGCCGGCGCCCAGGGCCGCCACGTGGGGGTGCGGCGGGGGCACCTGGCACACGCTGCAGGGGCAGGGCACGCCGCCCCAGTGCTGGAAGCCGCCGCCGCCGCCGCCCCCGCCGCCCAGGGGGGCCGCCGCCGCCGCCGCGGGAGACTTGAGCAGGCCGTGCGGGGGCCGGATGGAGCCGACCGACGACAGCCCGGAGCCGGGCAGGGAGGCGCTGGACACCGCGGCGGCGGCAGCGGCGGCGGCGGCGGCGGCGGGCGGCAGGAGCGGATGGTGCACCGCGGGGTGGTGCGCGGCGGCGGGGTGCGCGGCGGCGGCGGGCAGGGGCGCGGAGTGCGCGAGGCCGCCGCAGGGGGCCGGGTGGAAGCCGGCGTGGTGGCCGCCGTAGATCTCGCTCACCAGCCGCTTCATCTCCTCCAGCGAGCTGGTGAGCATGAGGATGTAGTTGCGCGCCAGCAGCAGCGTGGCGATCTTGGAGAGCTTGCGCACCGACGGGCCGTGCGCGTACGGCATGACCTCGCGCAGCCCGTCCATGGCGATGTTGAGGTCGTGCATGCGCTTGCGCTCGCGGCTGTTGATCTTGAGGCGCAGCTGCTGCAGCTCGGGCTCCGTCAGCTGCTTCTTGTCCTTCTTCGTGGACGACGCGGCCGCCGCCGCCGCGCTGGACGAGGCCCTGAAGCCGCCGCCGCCCAGCTTGTCCCCCGGGTGCGCGGCCGCCGCGCCCAGGGCGCCGCGCAGCTCCGAGCTCAGCTCCGGCGGGCAGTCGCTCGGCGTGGACGAGGACACGGTGCCCCCGGTGAAGCCGCCGCCGCCGCCGCCCTTGCCCCGGGCCGTCAGGAACAGGTCATCGGGCTCGGGCGAGGACGGGCGGCTGGACACCAGGCTGGCGTCCGAGTCCATGGCCCCGGGCACAGTCGGGCTTTCGCAGGGGCCTTCCTCCCTCGGCTGCCAGGCGTCTCCGCGCGTCCTACGGAGGAGAGAGCCGAGACCGAGGGGAGGTCAGCGGAAGAGAACAGCTGCGGGGCCTGCGCCTGCTCCACCGCGGGGCCCAGGCTCGGATGGCGGGTCGCCTTGTGCTCACCGCCCACCCTTGGCCTTCCTGGGGAGGGAAGGGGGGGCGCACACGTCTTCTCTCCTTCCCTCCCCGCAGCCTCCCCTCGCGCGCAGCCACAGGTTGCTCCCGGCCAGCGAGCCGGGGGCGTCCCCGGGAGGGCGGCCTTCTGGAGGCCTCATGCCTTCCGCCAGGAACGGGGAGCCGGTCTCCAGGGTTGGTATAAACAAGTGGCAAGTGAAGGTTTCCCTTGGGAAGGGCGAGTCTAAATAGATGTGCATTTGGTTCCTCACACGCACCCATCCACCTCATCTCCATCGACAGCGCGGAGCCGACACACGAACATGCCCGCACAGGGCCCGCACCCAGAGCCCGCACCGTGCCGGGTTCCGGCGCTGCGCCCGGGGCCGCGCGGAGCTCGCCAGCGGACCAGGACTTCGGCAGAGGCAGCCGTGACCGCCCGACTTTTCGTTTGCGGGCGAAGGATGCTGCGTGGGTGCGCGGTGGGTCAGAGCGAGGAACCACCGTGGAGAACTGGCGGGCCGGGGCGGGTTCGGGGACCCTCTACGGAGCTTCCTGGGGCGCAACCCAGTGGAGGGGCGTCCGCCCCGGGCGTGCAGCTGGGGCGGCGGAGGGCGGGGACACTTACTGTGGATGCAGTTAGAGGCGCTCGTTCCCAGACGGGCTCCGGCGCGGAGGGCGCGTGGGTCTGTGCTGCGCACCGCACCTTCCCGGGCTCGGCCGGCTTTTATAGCGCGGCGGCGGCGGCGGCGGCGGCGGCAGCGGCGGTGGCCGCGCGGGGCGGGAACAATGCGCGGGTCCTGGAGGGGCCGCCGCGCCAATGAGCGGGGCCCGCGGCGGGTGGGGTGGAGTGGGAGCTGGGAGTGACGTCATCCGGGCTCATTCCGCTCAATGAAGCTGGCGGCGCCCGGCGCCCGCCTCCTCCCCGCGCGCAGCCAATGGGCGCGCGCAAAGGAGGTTCCGGGCGGAGCTGGAGGCGGGGCTGGGTGGGGCGCGTGAGAGGCGAGGGAGGTGGGCGGGCTCGTGGGGAAGTGCCGAGGGCTGATCTCGACCGCGACCGCCGCCGAAAGGGAACTTTGTTACATTTGTTTGAAAATACGGTGGCCAGAGAGGCGGCTGGGGGATGGGGTGGGCTGGGAGCGCCACAAACTAACCTGATACCCGACGCGGTGAGACGCGCTGGGGCTAGAGCGCGCGCTCTCTCTCTCTCTGTCTCTGTTCTCCGCTGCCTGTCCGCACCCCACGGGCTCCAGCACGCGGACATTTGGAGCCCCCGGTAAACGGCAACCAGGCACAAAGCACCTGCTTTCCTCGCACTCGAAGAGCTCGCCAGGAGGCGGCCGGCAGCGCCCTCCGCTGGGGGCAGGGCCTAGCGAGACACAGGGCGGGGAAGGAGGAGGGAGGGCGCCTCCCCAATGGTGCTTGCAAAGAAACAGCGACTCTCCCGTCAAGTTGCGGAGGGTGCCGACCCCGGGACGCGCGCTGCCGCAGAGCTGCGCACACACCCTTCCTTCATTAGCTGTGTTTTCAGCGTCAGCTCTGTGGTCCTCACCGCGACACGACGGGGTGGGCAACGCCGGACCGTCTGCAGCAAGAGGCGCCAGGCCCGGGCGAGGCTTCTGCACACCCGGGGCCGGACGGCGAGATCCAGCCCCTCGCGGCCGCGTTCCCACGGGCTTTAGCAGCCCCAGCCGGCTCCGGACACGGAAATCTTTGACCGGGAGAAATGAAACCTGTCTTAGGTGCATCTACCCATTTTGTAGATGGGAAACGGAGAGACTGTGTCTGCCTGCGGCAAGTCTGCAGAAAAAGCCTGCTAACCCTGCCCGGACTGCGGACGCCAGCGCGGCCCCAAGCGCCGTCTCTGAGCTTTCCCTGCGCGGAATTTGTGAAGTCCACACCCTTCAAGTACAGGCGTTTGTTTGCGGGGACCGGGGCTGGGGGGGTGGGGGGGGCAGGCCTGTGCGCTTCTGCCGCGCACTCAGCACAGCCCAGCCCCGCTCAGGGAACGTTAGTCAGTGGGTTGTTTGGCAACTTTTAATTTGCATGAAGGCTTCAAGAAACCAAACAAATAAACATAGTAAGCGCTTTGCCTGCAAGTTAGCAAAGTTACAAATACACAAATACGAAAAGACCCCGCAGTGATGCTCCCAGTCCCCCCCCCCCACACACACACAGGTCTGTTCACTGGGAAGCCCCCCGCCCGCTCTCCGCCTTCTGGGCGTTCTTTTTCTAGCCGCGGCCGCCCAGCTGGCTCTGCAGCCGTCCGTTAAATATGTATTTAATACACGAAGAACGGAAGCGTGGGGCCATGTCCTCCAACGGCTCAGGAGGGTGGCCGGCAACCGCTCAATCGGGAGAATCTGTCACAGACTCCCACGCGGAGAGCAGGGCGGGCGGGGAACTGGGCTGTGCGCGGGCCATCCCTTTGGGCCCCCGGAGGCGGCTGGCAGTGAGGACATCGTGGAGGGGGGCGCATCGGGCCACCAGCCGGGCTCCTCCGTGTATCTAATGCCGGCAGCCCGGCAGGCGGACCGTGCGCGGTCAGTCCAGCGCGCGGCATGCGGCTCGGAGCCCCAATTCCTTCTTTAGTCTCTCGCCACCGGTGACCGCCAGCGGGAGGGCGAGGCCCGAGGCTCTCCGGGCGCTAGCTCGGTTGGAAGCAAGGGCGGGACCAGCCTGGAAACAGCCGAGTTTAGAGCCTGGGAAGGCAGTGGGGAGGCAGCGGAGCTGGCTCACCAGGTTCCCGCGTGGACGCCCCTAAGGACCATCCAGGCCCTGCACCCGGCCACCCAGCCGAGGGGGCACGGGGCCTCCCTCCCTACGCCTGGGGCTTGGGGTGGCAGCTCCGGGCTGCAGGCCCCTGCTCCTGGCAGCCTCTCCAACGTGCCCCGGGCGGTGGGGGCGGACTGTGCTCCCCGGGCTGCTTTGGCGCAGCGGAGCCCGCCCGCCCCCACCAGGAATGGCGGGGAACTGGAGCCCGGCCATGGCGCTGGCCTTCTTGCGACCTGGCGGCGCCCAGGCTCTGGTCAGATCTCCAGTCCAGCGCCTGGTGTGCACGTCCTGGGCGAGACCCCCCACGGGAGGGACCCCCTCCCCACCCCCTCCAAGCACCGCCTTCCCCGCCGGCGGGCAGCCCCGCAGCTCGGTGGGCGGATTGAGCGCTCACTTGTGAGGCGGAGCGCAGGCCCCAGGCCCGGAGTTCCCGGCGGCCGGGCTTCCTGGGCCCCGGGCCGCCCTCAAAACGGAAGACGTGTCTCCCCCTCCTTTGTGTTTCGCTCCCACAAAAGGCCGGGTGCGTGTCACGGCCGCCTTCGCCCCACCGCCTGGCGGCCCGGGAGGTGCCGGTGCCAAGAGGGCCTGGCGGCTCCGCGGGTCTCCAAGGGCGCAGACCTCCCACCGCTTCCCGGGGTCCCGGGCTTTATTCCGCCCGCGCCTCTCCCTCCTGCGCGCATTCAGGCGGCGTCTGGCCCGGCTGCCAGGGAGAGCGGTCCTGGGCAGGGCCCGCCGGGCTCTTGGCACCGAGAGGAAAGGAAGAGAAAAAGCGTTTCAGCCGGCGCTCCTGGTCCGGAAACCAGCAGGAATGCAGAGCGGCCCCCTTGGCGCTCAAGCCCTGAGCTTGTGGCCCTCGGAAGGCAGGGCTCTGCGAACAGATGCCATCTGTCCCCCTTCCAGACTCACCCCAGAGCCGCCGCTCCATCCCGCGGCCGGCCTGGCCGGAGGGTGCCGGGCAAACACCTCTGAACACACACACACACAGGTGCACCCACACGTGCGGACTGGTATAAACCATGACCGTGAAATGTGGGCGAAGACTTGTGTGTATTTACTCGGTGTCCACGTGCAGCCATGCGGTCGGGTCTGTAAAACCCACTGCTGGGCGCCTGGGTGCCTTAGCAAGTCAGCAAATGGTGACTGTGACCACTTAAAGCGACCCACCTACGCTGTGCCGACCGACTTCATCTTATTTCATCTCTCACTGGCCTGGGAGGGAGGGGACACTCACTGCAATGGTGCTGACCTTTGGCCAAAGTCAGGGAGGAGAGGGCAGGTCCAGGGAGGCTGCAGATGGTGAGGGAGGCAGGGGAGGGGGGCAGGGGAGGGAGACAGGGGAGGGAGACAGGGGAGGGGGGCAGGGAGGGAGACAGGGGTGGGAGGCAGGGGGGGGCAGGGGAGGGAGGCAGGGGAGGGAGGCAGGGGAGGGGGGCAGGGAGGGAGACAGGGGTGGGAGGCAGGGGAGGGGGGCAGGGGAGGGAGGCAGGGGAGGGAGGCAGGGGAGGGAGACAGGGGAGGGGGGCAGGGAGGGAGACAGGGGTGGGAGGCAGGGGAGGGGGGCAGGGGAGGGAGGCAGGGGAGGGAGGCAGGGGAGGGAGGCAGGGGTGGGGGGCAGGGAGGGAGACAGGGGTGGGAGGCAGGGGAGGGGGGCAGGGAAGGGAGGCAGGGGTGGGAGGCAGGGGAGGGGGGCAGGGAGGGAGACAGGGGAGGGAGACAGGGGAGGGAGACAGGGGAGGGGGGCAGGAGAGGGAGACAGGGGAGGGAGACAGGGGAGGGAGGCAGGGGTGGGAGGCAGGGGAGGGGAGCAGGGAGGGAGACAGGGGAGGGAGGCAGGGGAGGGAGACAGGGGAGGGAGACAGGGGAGGGGGGCAGGGGAGGGAGGCAGGGGTGGGGGGCAGGGAGGGAGACAGAGGAGGGAGACAGGGGAGGGAGACAGGGGAGGGAGGCAGGGGTGGGAGGCAGGGGAGGGGGGCAGGGAGGGAGACAGGGGAGGGAGGCAGGGGAGGGGGGGCAGGGAGGGAGACAGGGGAGGGAGGCAGGGGTGGGAGACAGGGGAGGGGGGCAGGGGAGGGGGGCAGGGAGGGAGGCAGGGGTGGGAGGCAGGGGAGGGGGGCAGGGAGGGAGACAGGGGAGGGGGGCAGGGGTGGGGGGCAGGGGAGGGGGGCAGGGGAGGGGGGCAGGGGAGGGAGACAGGGGAGGGGGGCAGGGAGGGGGGCAGGGGAGGGAGACAGGGGAGGGGGGCAGGGAGGGGGGCAGGGAGGGAGGCAGGGGAGGGGGGGCAGGGAGGGGGGCAGGGGAGGGGGGCTGGGGAGGGGGGCAGGAGAGGGGGGCAGGGGTGGGAGGCAGGGGAGGGAGGCAGGGGAGGGAGGCAGGGGAGGGGGCAGGAGAGGGGGGCAGGGGTGGGAGGCAGGGGAGGGAGGCAGGGGAGGGAGGCAGGGGAGGGGGCAGGAGAGGGGGGCAGGGGTGGGAGGCAGGGGAGGGAGGCAGGGGAGGGGGGCAGGGGTGGGAGGCAGGGGAGGGAGGCAGGGGAGGGGAGCAGGGGAGGGAGGCAGGGGCGGCCCTCGGAGCCCAAGAGTCTCAGGTCTTCACTCCTGGGATGGGCTCCCAGGAGCCCCTGCGGCCTGTAAGGTGTGTCTGCCAGCAGATCTGGGGGCAGCGGGCGGGCAGGAGCCCCCTCCCGGCGGAGGTCTCTGTGCTGTCGGTCCTCTAGTGCTTGCAGGACCGGGAGGTGTTGAGGAACAAGGACCCCTGCCCGGGCCTGGGGTCCGGCTTCATGCACAGAGTCCTGGAGGAGCGCCTGGAGCTTTGGGGGGGGGGGGCGGGTGCTGCATCAGAGAAACTAAAGAAAAACAACAAAAAGCAGCCAAACAAAACCCCAAACGGATGCCCCCTCCCCCTTCCCGCCAGTTGCCCTTCCCCCTGGATTGCCCTCAGCC